ATATAAACACATATTTAGAGAAAGCTTATAAATAGCTGATCAATAGATATCAAAAATAATTTTTTATGTTCATATTTGCAGCTCAAAAACATTTAGATGCCATTGCCAGATCTACTACTAAATAATTAATCTACTTTTAATTTATACTACCATGAATTAATCTACTATTAATTAATAAACTGGAGAAATATTATAAGTGATGTTAATTGTGTTTATATTAGAATTAAAGGATGTATAGCCAATACACATTGGGTTGTTTCCCTTCTCCCTAATTTTCGCGAGGTCGTCACTTCTCCCTAAAATTTCCCCCCAGGATGAGCCCTGGACTGTATACTCAATTAAACACCCTTATGACAACTTTTTCGAATAGTGGAGCCTTACTGTCCTCCGACAGTTCATGTTATATAATCTTATGGCATAGACCAATCTGCACAAATCTTCTCCCTCTCCTGTCTGTCTGTCCATCCATCTGACTGTCCATCTATCTGTACAAACACAGAGGTACTTGTGTAACTAGGAGAAGAATAGGTAACAGTACATTTTCTTTGATCCTATTCATTCAGTTTTTACTTTTGTGTCCTTTTTATGCCACCGCAGCATCTGCGATGCGGTGGCATATAGCGATTCACCTGTGTGTGTGTGTGTGTGTGTTTGTTTGTGTGTGTGTGTGTTATATAGATTATATAGTGAACTTAAAAAATCTTCTTGTGAAAAACCACTAGTCCAATTTCAACCAAACTTGGCAGGATTGATTCCTTAGGGTGAAGGGCTTCCAAAGTTGTTTTCAAAAGAATTTCATTCCATGCAGAATCTGGTTGCCATGGCAACCAAAAGGAATTATAAGAAATAAAATTAAAAAAATCTTCTTGTAAAGACCCAAAAGGCCTAGAGCGCTTAGATATTTTGCATAAGGCGATTGCTCTGGTAGACTCTACCAAAGATTGTTTTCAAATTATAGCCCTGGGGTCAAAATCAGCCCCATCCCGGGGTCCATTGATTTTCACTGGGATAAGCTATAAGTACATATAGTAAAAACTTTAAAAATACCTTCTTGTAAAGACCCAAAAGGCCTAGAGCTTAAGATATTTTGTCATAAAAAGGCATTTGTCTGGTAGATCCCTTTCAAAGATTGTTTCAAATTATAGCCCTTGGGTCAAAATCAGCCCGGCCCCCAGGGGTCATTGATTTTCACTATATGTACATATAATAAAAACTTAAAATACCTTCTTGTAAAGGCCCTAGAGTTAAATATTTTTGCATGGAAGGCATTGTCTGGTAGACCTCTACCCAGATTGTTCAAATTATAGCCCTAGGGTCAAAATCAGCCCCGCCCCGGGGGTCATTGGTTTTCCTTACATGTATATAGTAAAAACTTTAAAAAAAAATCTTCTAGCAATTGACAAATGCTAAAGGTTAGATATTTTGCATGAAACATTGCGTAGTGAAGCTCTAGCAAGATTGTACAAATTTTAGCCCTGGAGTCAAAATTGCCCAGCCCCGGGGGTCATTGATTTTCACTATATACATATAGTAAAAAATCAAAAAATCTTATTGTCTGAAGGTACAAGGCTTAGAGCTTAAATATTTGTTAAATGATATCATCTATAGTTACTCTACCAAAGTTGTTCAAATTTTGCCTCTAGTGTCAAAATTAGCCCCTCCCCGGGGGCCATAGGTTTTCCTTATATGTATATAGTAAAAACTTAAAATATCATCTTCTCTAAATTTACAAAGGCTAGAGTAAAGATATTTTGCATGAAACATTGTGTAGTGAACCTCTACCAAGATTGTTCAAATTATAGCCCTGGGGTCAAAATTGGCCCTGCCTGGGGGCAGCGATTCTCATTATGTGCCCATAGTAAAAACAGAAAATAAAACAAATGTTTTCTGAATGGGAGAAAGCTACAGCTTAGATATTTGACTTGAAATGTTGTTTGGCGGACCTGTATCAAGATTGTTCTGAATTAAACCCTTGGCGTCAAAATTTTGACTTGCCCAAGGGGACAGTGACCTACTTTCTTGTCCTTTGATGTACAGCAATGAAATTTTGACCATGTGCACAGTTTTAGTGTAAAAATTGAACTTTGATATCAGGTGAACCTAGATTTTGATGATGTGACCTAGTCTTTCTTGTCCTTTGATGTACAGCTATGAAATTTGAACCATGTGCACAGATTAAGATGTTAAGTGAACTTTGATAATCAGCTGACCTAGATTTTGACAAAGTGTCTTACTGTGTTGTCCTTTGATGTAGTCATGAAATTTAGGCTGTGTGAAATATGACCTTCACCACCAAATTCACTAGACTCAAAGTGCATTGGTATATTCCTACTCTGATTTTTTATTGGATTAACAATAGATTTAACCACTAATCTGATAATAAGAATTAGATAGGTCAGGGATCTATGCATTATGACAATCTTCAAGACTTAGTGTTACATAGAAACAAAAAAATCTGTTCCTACACTACTATTTAGTGTTGTATTAATGCGGTGGCATAGCATTTTTCTCAAATGCAATCTTGTTTTTGGCCTTGTGTGTAAAAAGTCTAGAATTTGTGTTTGATCAATAACATCTAAACCGCTGCAATGTTTTTAAGATAACTTGGCAAAAATGGTCACCATTATGATATCATGTGGAGAGCACAACAATCAAGTCACTACCCTCAAGGTCAGGGTCACACTGAAAGAATCAATGCTAAAAAATGAACACCATGACATGATGTGTGAAGTGCAATATTCAAGTTGCTACCCTAAATGTCAAGGTCACACATAGAGGTCAAATGTTAAAAGTCAACAATTTTGTGTCCTCTTCATAACGTTTTAACTCCTGAATTTTTAGCTCACCTGTCCCTAAAATGACAGGTGTGAGCTTTTGTGATATCTTTTCTTCCGGGCGTCCATTCGTAAACTTTTACTTTAAACGACATCTCATAGCCAATTTCATCCAAAACTTCACCAGGAAAATGTCCCTTAGGTAAGTCAATTTTTAAAAAATGTTCAAAGAATTTAATTCTAAAGCGGAACTCTGTTTTGCCATGGCAACCGAAAGAAAAAAACTTAAAATATCTTCTTTTAGAAAACCGAAAAGAGCTAGAGCATAAATACTAGGCATGAAACATCATCTAGTCAGTGTCTACCTAGTTAGTACAAATAAATGCCCTGGGTCAAAGTTGGCCCTGCCCCCGGGGGGTCATTGATTTTCCTTATTTGCACATAGTAAAAAGCTTAAAAATCTTCTTTTTAAAAAGCCCAAATAGCTGGAGCTTAGATATTAAGCATGAAACATCTTTCTAGTGGGTGTCTACCAAGTTTGTTCAAATAAAAAAGCCCCTAGGGTCAAAATTGGCCCCACCCCAGGGGGTCATTGTTTTTACCTTTATATATATAGTTAAAACTTAAAAAATCTTCTCTTTTAAAAAACCCAAAGAGCTAGAGCTAAGATATTTAGCATAAAACATCTTCTAGTGGGTGTCTACCCAAGTTTCTTCAAATAAGGGCCCTGGGGTCAAAATTGGCCCCCACCCCATGGATCAATTGATTTTCCCTTATATGGTATATAGTAAAAACTTACAATATCTTCTTTTAAAAAAAAACCCTGAGAGCTAGAGCTAAGATATTTAGTATGAAACATCTTCTAATGGGTGTCTACCATTTTTGTTCAAACAAAGGCCCTGGGGTTAAAATTGGCCCCACCCCAGGGATCATTGATTTTCCTTATATGGATATTGTAAAAACTTAAAAAACTTCTTTGAGCTAGAGTTTAGATATTTAGCATGAACTATCTTCTGGTGAGTGACGACCAAGTTTGTTCAAATAAAAGCCCTGTGGACAAAATTGCCCTATATGTGTATAGTAAAAGCTTAAAAAATCTTACAGCTAGAGCTTAGATATTTATAATGAAACGGCTTCAAATTGGTGTATACCAAGTTTGTTCAAATATATGCCCCTGGGTTAAAATTGGCCCTGCCCCAGGGGCCTACATACAGGTGAGCGAATTCAGGGCCACCATGGCCCCTCTTGTTTTGATTATATTGGCACAAATGATCACCATCATCACCTACAGAGGGCAGCAACCAGGTGGCTACCCTCAAGGTCAAGGTTAAGGTTATTACATAACCACAGTCTTGTAATTTTCACCTGAATGATTTGTAAAACCATGACTTACCTTATCAAAAAATAGACATAAGGAGTCAGAATAAAAAGTCTTATAAGTTAAAAAACATGACATATGTCACTAAAAGCCCACAGAACCCCAGTCCCAATTTTGCCTAAAAGCATGATACAACCACATATGTAAAAAACTTGTAAATATAAGTCTAAAATTACCTAAGGTTACCAAGACCTTTACCCTAAAATTCAAATAAAATAAGAGGAAATCTCAAAGGGTATTTTCCTAAATTATGGAAGATAATTTTGGTCAAATAAGAAAAACAGACTTTTTGAATAATTGATGCTTATGGTAAATGTAAATGGTGGCTTATGAATACACATGGCACAACTACAAGGTCATGGTTGGTTGAAGGTCAAAAAAGTCCCACATTAATGTCCCTGTAGAAGGGGATTAAGCTGTCCTTCTTCTGAACTGCCTTGTTTCATTCTATTTATTTGAATGAAATTTGTTGTTGCATGACTACAGATCTATGATCTCATACAACCTCAATCTTTTGAAGTAGCACAATTTTGGGTGCTTCAGGTAAAACTTCCCATAGACGGGGGACATTACTCTTTAACAATTTTTTTGTTTTATCATAGGACTTAACATGCTGGGCAAAATAAAAAAATAAAAATTTTTATAATGTTATTTGAAATCAAGATTCAATTTATTATTTTTTGTCATTTTTTTGCCCTTTGCGTATCCTTTAAAATGAATCAAGAATACATTAAAGTTATGTTGTTATACTTAAAATTTATGAGGTATGGCCATGTTAAAAAAAAGTTATCAGAAAAGGGAATGTTTTCAACCATGCTTTTTAAACTAACACCTTGTAATTGTTTCAGGGTATTTGGCAAGGTTAAGAGTAGGAGTTGCTTCATATTGAAATCCACCGACCCCAAAAAGAAAAAAAAAAAATAAAGGATAAAGAAAAAAGAGAAGAAGCCAAACTTGCGCTAAGGGCAACAAGCTTGCTGCAGCTGCTGCTGGCAGCCGGCAGCATGCATCAAAAATGTAGACCAGTGTGGCATGCTAGAACCATTAGCATTTTTCTGCCTTACCAAATGGCCCATCTCAGTTATAGCTTGTGTGGTATAGATAATTCTGTATTAAATACTATTATACTTGGTGCTTGTACACACTGTATAAATGACCTGAATGGTTTAATAAGACATCTTCTATTTTATTCTGATTGAATTCATGTGACATAATCTTTAATCTGAAAATGAAATTATCAGATTTTCATTTAAATTTTGTTATTAGATGATTTTTCAGTATGGCAAATGTTGTTTTAAACAGCAGCATTTGCATTTCATCGGACATATATATATATTGTTTGTGCTGTCATCTTATTTTTTCCATAATCCTTGTTTTTTCATTTATAAATGTATTGAGCAATTTCATTTTAATATATTCTGTGATTTTATACAACTGATTAAATGTGTGAAATATGAATTTTAATATTTGTAACATTTTAATTAGTTATTCATTTCAGACATTATATATTTTTATTAGATTTTATTGTATTATTCCTGATTGTACATCAACTGTCCAATGTATATCATTTATTATTAGTAACAGCCATTTAAATCATTACTTACATATAAAGAATTCTAATAGCTAATGAAGTTTTAAATGCATGATGTTACATAACTTGATTGCGCTTTTATTTGTGCATAAATTTGTATTATTTTTAATGAAATTCTTTGTGTAATTTTGCAACAATATTTAATGATATTCTAAACTATCATATACAAAGCATAGATATTGTTTGGCAATATTGACCTGAGACTCATTAATTTTTGTAAGCCTTTTCGTTAGTTTCCATAATTTATTACGATTTACTAATTGATTTTTAATGATACTTTATGCGATAAAAACATCCCTATGTAAGATAGTATAGCAATCGTGAAGTTGCAAGTTCTAATCCTCAACAAAAAATTATTTTTCATATTTCTTTAGTTATCATTTTATGATGTGCAGCATTAGTGGATGAATCATTTCTTTATTTGATTGTGTCTTTTCTTTAAAAAAAAATCATAACTTTGATCTATAGAGCTATATGTAAATTTTTATAATTTTTTTGTACAGTAGTTCAATAGATAATTGGCATGCACAAAAACTAAGTAGTCAAGTTTCACAAAATATAATAATAAAAAATAACACATAAAAAAATATGTTTAATTAAGATTTGAACTTAAACCTTCAATTTAAAACTAAAAGTCTTAACTGCTTATCACCGAGGGAAGTTAGGCAAGTGTTGTGTTGTCTTCGTTAAGTTATACATAAACAATTAATTGTATACTGTTATTCCATACTTTAAAATCCGTATGATTTACTTCGGAATTCGACAGGTCATTGAATATTCAAATGTCTCAGGTCAATATTGCCAAACAATGATAACTGAAATTCAAAAAATGCATTAATTTAATCAGTACTCAAATGAAATTCTTTGTTAAAATATATGTGTGCTTTCACATTTATATAGAGGATATTAAATGAGTGTAGTTTAATACTAAATTTATTGAACGAGTTGAATATAATCATATTATGCCAGCCTCTTGCGAGCATGATATTATTTTATTCAACCCAGTTTTAATAAATTTGCAAATTTAATCTTAAACAAATATAATATTTATTTTAAACACATATATAAAAAAAAGAACAGTAAAAATGTAAAAAAAGAAATAATTTTTTAAAAGACCGGGCCTTTTAGTGTAAGGGTAAAAAGCGTGCTTTAACGCTTTGTTTCTATATAGCGCAAATGACGTCACGTCAAAGTGTTTTTACACTAGTGTAATATCGTTTTTATTAAATGGCTTTATTACACTCCTGTGCCGCATTTTATGTGATAAAACAGATAATTAATTCTTAATGTGGATTTTAGTTTTCCTTTTTTGAAGGAAAAAAAGCTTTGCTACAGTCATGTTGTTGTTGACGTTGCTGATGATGTTGCCATCAGAAAACTTTAACATTGGTTATAACTTTTTAGCTCACCTGACCACGAAGTGGCCAAGGTGAGGTATAGTGATGGGGCTATGTCCGGCGTCCGTCGCTCTTCGTCAACAATTGGGTTTGTTAACAGTCTAGCAGTCAAACAGTTTTGATTGGATCTATTGTTCAGAATGTTTGTCTCAATGAAATAGAGATCGAGTTTGAAGATGGATCATCTCCGGTCAAAAACTAAGGTCACAGGAGCTAAAAATAGAAAAAGGCTTGGTTAACACTCTAGTGCTGCAGTTTTGATCCAAATATTTTTTGGAAAATTTGTCAGGAAGGTTGTTTTGATGATTTCTAGGTCAAGTTCGAAGATGGGTTATCTCCAGTCAAAAACTAGGTCACAGGAGCTAAAAATAGAAAAAGCTTGTTAACACTAGTGGCTGCAGTTTTTGATCCAAATATCCTGGAAAATTTGTCAGGAAGGTTGTTTTTGATGATTTCTAGGTCAAGTTTTGAATATGGGTCATCTCCAGTCAAAAATTAGGTCACAGTGCCCAAATATGGAAAACCTTTTTAACACACTAGAGGTCACTTTTTAACTTTAAAATTTTCATCAACTTTCCCCGGAGCCCTTTTCTAAAAAATTGGGTTGGGGTCGGTTGAAAGGTCAGGGGGAAAGATCCAGGCCCCTCATGGCCCCCTTGTTTATCTCTGAATTTTTAAATTTTTTATATTTGAAACCAACAATTTTACAGGGGCCTTAAAGGGTTTTTTTTCCCCCAAAAAAACTTTACCTTTTATAATTAAAAATTTTTGACCCTTCAAAGTAAATAAATTTTTATTCTCTTTAAATTCTTTGACTATTTATTTTTATTAAAATTTTTTTTTTATAATTAAAATTAATCCAACAGGAAATTTTTGTAACCCCAAATTTAATACTTCACTCAAAAGATTAATCAAAATTTTTATTTTGGGTTTTTTTTACTCATTTATTAATAAAAAAGTTTCTTTTCATCATTTTTATTTGCCTGGTTTTTCTCCAAAATATTAATCTTTATTTTTTTAATTCCCCTTATTTTTGGTTTATTTTGCTATTCCCTTTTTTTTTACAATTTTGTGTCCCTCTGGGAAACCTTTTTAACCAGTGGAAAAAAATTGAAAACTTCCCCTTTACAGAAATGGTTTAAAACATAATGAAAAATATGTGGGAGAGCCAAAGGGTTTTATCTTCCCCCAGGTCAAGGTCACAGACATTTTATATCAATTTCAAAATTTTGTCTCTGTATCTTTTTGAATGTTAGGAAGGAAATTTAAACTACTTGGCAGAAATGTTAACCATTATAAGAGAATGTGCAAAGTTTCTTCAGGTCAAGGTCACATTTAGTAATTTTATGTCTGCTCTGTATCTTTGGAACCGATAGAAAGAAATTAAAATTTTTGGGAAAAAATTAAATTTTAATTTAGATGAACCCCAAGGGGGCAGAAAAACAGGGGTTTGGGGGTTCCCCCCGAGATCAAAAAGGGGGAAAAACCCGCCCGGGGGTTTTTGTTTGGGGTTTAAAAAAGACTTACATAGGAAAAAACAAGTTTAGTGAAACTACAAGTCTAACTTTGATATTTTGGGATATTGCAAATTTCTTTAATGACCTTTACAAAACTGATATGATTCATGCCCCTTGGCTCAATATTATCCTCGCCCGTAGGTCTCTTAGTTAATATAGTTTTGTATTAAGAAAGCTCCTCGCAGGCCACTAGTTAATATAGTTTTGTATTAAGAAAGCTCCCCGCGGGCCACTAGTTAATATAGTTTTGTATAGGAAAACATGTTACAGTAAAAACTCTGAAAACCGGACCCTCTCCGGACTTGACCAAAAGTCCGGTTTTCAGAGGTTTTCGGTTTTCAGAGGTTTTATACTTTAATTGATAATTATGATGTGATTGAACTATGACTTTGTTCAAACATTTTGTATTTACTTTTTAACACTTTTGTGTAAGTCATATTTTAATTTCTTTAAGCAATAAATGTCTTAAGTGATTTCATTATGCAAATCCATGAATATAATTCAGAAAATCAGAAATTAAAACAACATATCTTTTTTAATTGGCTTTTGAAATATGTTATTAATGCAATTTAGTATTACTATGTTTGCATATAATAAATATCCAAACAAATATCAATTTTTTTTTAGCAAAGCAGGAATCATTTTACAAAAGTGTCCCAATTCTTTTTACACATTTTATATTTAACAAATTTAAAAAACATTTAGAAAAAATCATACCTATACAGGGAAAGGCACAAATTGTAATGAAAGAGCAATAATTTAATTGCCAATAACAAATTAGCACACACTAACAAGTGTTTTCACACCTGCATAGATAAAAAAGGTGATCATTAACTGGTCATTAAACATGTGACCTGTTGAGATTATGTTTTAATATACATTAAAATACACAGAAAGTTGACACTTAAAATTGCTGTCCGGTTTTCAGAGGATTTTTTATGCATGTTTAGCATTAGAAACCATAGAAAATCGTCCGGTTTTCGGAATTCAGAGGTTCCGGTATTCAGAGGATTTTTTTTCAATGAACATATAAGAAGAAAATACGGGACTTTTGAAATGGTCCGGTTTTCAGAGGATTCCGGTTTTCAGAGGGTCCGGTTTTCAGAGTTTTTACTGTATTAAGTCTTATTTTGGTGAAATTATAATGCCTAGAGTTTATAAATATGACATATAGAATTGCTTTGTTGTCCTGTACAAAACTGATATTAATCATGCCCCTTAGGTGAATATTGGTCCTGTCCCAGGGGTCACTTAGTTGATAAAGTCCTAATGTGTGAATCTACAATGCCAGGAGCTAAAATATTAAGCATGTAACTTTACCTTGTGAACCTCTGCAAAACTGATGCCCATGTGGATAAATATTTGCCCGACCCCGATTAACTTTATTTATAGAAAACATATATGAGCCGTGTCACGACA